CAATTCATAGACCAGGTTGATCTATTTTTATTTTATATGCACACATTTCATATTCTAATTTATAAGTTGTATGTAATTTTTTTTCTTCCAGAAGTCCAACTTTAGTTAAAAATATACCTACAAGTTTGGGCTATGGAGCAGCTCTTAATGCCAGTCTGCAGGTAATATCATTAAATGTGCATTGCCATTATTGTTCTCCTTGGACGTTTGGGTACTTTATTGTTTGCCATGCTTTCTATTTAGGCGAGCTTGTGATTGTTCTTAATAGTTGGTTTATCATCCAAGGAAGTTGTAGTACCTAGTCCTATGGAAATCACTGATTCTCATTCAAGCTATTTTTGATGTGAAGAAACAAGAAGGACACCCTGTGGCAAAATCTGGAACACTCAGTTTTCTTGCAAATGCTAGATTGATAGAAGCTTTTGCAAATGCATGTGGCTATGCATTAATATTTATCCAGGCTGTCATAAATGATTTCACATCATAGTGTTGGGGAACATGGTGCTTGTGGCAAAAACTTTAAAGTTTAATTATAATATATAATTTTTATGCAGAGGAGGCAAATGTCAGGACTTCTTTATTTTGAGTTAAGTTCTGGTCATTTTTAAAAAGCAGAGCAATTGCTTATATTATCCTCAAGTATTTCTGAAAATGTGAGGAGTCAACATTTCGTTATGCAAAAGGTTAACATGCAAGTGAGAAAGTTTGCTGTGGGAGCTGTTGTTTATGTGTTCAGATCACTTTAATGCCTTGTTATGCCGGTTGCAAGTGGACATTCAGGAAGTTTTGTTTCCATACATTTTATTTAAGTGCTTCTGAAATGTCTATAATGCAATGTGCAACCGCTAAAGGGAGAGATGTGCTGCTGCAACGACTTTAAAGGGCAGGCGTGTTAAAGCTGTCTTGCTCCTTGTCCATCCCACTAGGCTGCCTTGGCAGAGAGCAGTTTGCCTTTGCTAAGTAACCCTGGACTGATCAATAACGCCTCCAGTGGCCTCCTGCAGGCTGTCCATGAAGACCTCAATGGTTCCCTGGACCACATCGACAGCAATGGGAACAGCAGTCCAGGATGCTCACCTCAGCCACACATGTAAGTGTGGTTAGCAGATTCCTGAAAGGGATGAAAATATATTCATATGTTTCTGAATTTGATATTTTTTCTGAAGTTTGTTATGATGTTTATTTAAGTAAAAACATAAAAGTTTAAAGAGTCAGATTGTACTGTGTCTATAACATATAAATGGTATCAAAAGTGTTGTTCAAAGGTCTTAGAAACTATCCCAAGTGCCCAATACTAGTGTTGATAGCATTCTACTACAAATTCTTAGTACTGCTAAAGTCCTGTTGAGAATTATGTACTGTGTCTGATGAAACTCCATCTGATGGGCCATTATCACAGTTTGGTTTGTATGGTATATTATGAATATTTGTGAAAGGGTAAGTTGTCATAATTTTTACTACTATTATAGAACTCTAAACCATTTATGAACTGTAGTCAAGACATTGCCCATTTTTATAAACCGTAAAATGCAAAGTTTAACTGTTACCCACAGTTTACACAGAAGCTGGTAAAGTGTAACTTTTTGCCTGTCTTATAAATCAGGGTAATTACATATTCAAGCTTAATTACTGGTGCGCCTGTATTGGCAAGGTTTATATGTTATATTTTATGCAAGACTACGATTCCTATTAATATTTAGCAGCTAACTATATCATTAATTACTCTAAAATCTTTTCCCTACCATCTTTTTAATGGAGCTGAGAGAGTGGAAGTATTAAAAATTGATGTATTGTGGATTTCAGAAAAGTGTATGACACTTTTTTTAAAAATGCCAGGTCTTATTCAGTGGTATCAGGTACATCAGTTTCTTGTTTACCAAAACAGACTGACCCTGGTGGAAATGAGAATTCCTAGAGAAATAGTTACAGCTGAGTGATGGACAACATGTGCTTCTGAACTGGTAGGATGATGGTTGAATGTTGTGGCTATCCTTCCCTGAGTTACTCCACAAGCTGCTTAACTCACATGGTTGATACAAGATTGCCACTTGCCTGAATTATGTATTTTGTTCTTTGTGACTTTCTTTATCTTTTATTTTGTATTGAGACAGCATCTCAAACTCACATCAGTGCTCTTGCGTCAGCCTCCTAAATACTTCTGGCGTTATAGCCATATGCTATCACATTGGACTTTTTATCCCTCATTAAGTTTCCAGTCAAAGAACTGAAAGGGTCTAGAACCCATCCATGTACCCATTTTCATTTGACCTTTCACAAATTATTTTGTTGATTTTTAAAAAGCCCCTACACGGCTTGACATATGAATGCCTTTGAGATCATATGCCTAATTGATGTATTCTGCTTTTACTCTATCATCTTTGCAAAAACACACTGCAGTCATTAAAGTGTTTCTTTGGATTCCAAGCCATTACTTTTCCAAAATGGAAAAATCTGTCTTTTGGAAGTATCTTTAGTTGTATTAAATAATACAAAAGAAGTGGCAAAACCCCAAGTAAAAAGAACATGAATATATGCTCTCGAGACTAGCTGTACTCTAAGCAAGGAAAATGAGCAATCAGACAAAAGTTTTTACACCCTGCATCATCACCCTGTCAGCCATGCGGTGGTAGCTGCAGGCTTTTCCTTTCCTTTGCTCTCCTGACTGTGCTAATGCTCACTCCCTATGCAAATGCTAAAAGAATTCATCTTTAAACCCAACAAGAGTTAGATCCTGATTTTCTCTACTTAGAAAGGAGGAACTGTATGAAAGGCAATCGTAAAAGCAGTGTGTGAACTGTGGGTGCTCCTTTCCTTGCTCCCACACAGTGTGTACATGCTGATGCAAACCACGTGTGATGTGATGCAGAAGAAAGTGATTTTCACAAGTTTAATTGTCCGGTGCTGTGAATATTAAAATAAAAAAAATAGTGACATAGTACAGTAGTTTATTAAATATTGTATTTTAGAACCTGAAATAATAATTAGACTAAATAATGGCTTTGTTGAGTTCATAGTATTTTTTTTTCTGTTGACAATTGGTAGTTCTGGTCACTCTTTATTGTTTAAGTTTGATCATGAAATATCTAAAGGAAATAATAGTGTGCAAAACAATAATTAAAATATCTTTAATGTTTTGTGTAGTACCATTATCAGTTTGTACAGAAAACATTCAGTTAATGAACTATGTAAGTGATATTGACATGAATATACACATAGGAAAAATACCTGCATTTATTTTCCATAGATGAAGCAAAGTCTCCCTTTCTTGTAAGAAATTTATTTCAGAAAATTTTAAAAAAATAGAGGAATCCCATACCTTGTCTTCTCCTAAAAATATAAATGAAAATCAAGTTTGAAATTATCCTGAAAAATATTGAGTCAACACTGATACTTCCAATCTCTCCATGCTACTCCATTAACTTTCTGTAGTATGTCCAGGTATTAGAAGATATCACCTCAGCATTTCACATCTTCAACTCTATACACCTAATATGCTTAGTTACATATGATGAATAGCAAGCATTTTGGGCTTATTATTAAGCCAGGCAAGGGAAAATTATTGACATGGTTCTACAAATTAAAAATTGTTCACATCTAATTGAATGTAGTTCAGAGAATTTTGAGATTGAATAGAAATGAAAAACTATTTTATGAAACGTTTAGGTAGCATTTTTTATGTGTATGTCCTGGGGTGACTTAATGCTACATGTTGATTTGGAAGGGGCTATTTATGCCAATATTATTATGAGAGAGAGACAGTGTAGCTCAATTGTGTCATACTGTTTGTGGTCCAGCACCCAACTAAGCACTACACATGGGAATGGGCAGGTTTTCTTGATAATTTTGTCTTCCTCTTTTTCCCCATGAACTCTCAGTAATACACACCTCATTTATGCAAATAAACTGAGTGCCTGAAAATAATGATGCTTCTCATGGTATATACCTATTTAGTACTGACTGCTAGTACCTATTGTAGTCTCTCATTGCCAATACAAAACACACTTTTCAGTTTCAATACTTTCTATCCACTATACTACATTTAATGATCATTTTCCAAAACAGCATCTTTCCTTTTACTCTGACCTCTCTTATAATTACTGAAGTAAACAACCCATTAAACGTGAGACAATATGACAGAGGAATTTATTGTATGGGGCTCATTGCTCAAAATCAGTGGGATAAAGGATAAAAGGCATAAGAAAATACTAACTGAAGTTGTTGGCAGTGAACAGCTTTAACAGAGAAAAATATTACCAACCCAGAATTAGTCACTCATGTGGCAAGAAACAGGGAGAATTGGATCGCACAAGAATTTAGAATACATAGGTAAATACTGAGTTTAGAATATATGAAGATGAGATCAGACTCATAAGTTACTAATAGTAAGTTATGGTGTTTGTATTTGTCAGTGTGGAGCATGTTCAGTGTTACAGGTTTGAATTTTGTACAGGCAGTGTTCTGCTTCAGGAGCCAAGCTCTCTGAAATCATACAGCATGTACCACAGCTTGACAGCAGCAATGTCCGGATGTTTTTGAATTAGCAGAGCTGGATTCAGATTAATCTTAGTAGGCTCTAGTATCTATAGTATCCGTTTTAAATTAGATGATGGGAATGGAAAGCAGTGAATTAACCCAAGAAGTGTTTTAAAATAAAGATGAGAAAAGGCACCTGACTGTGTTCTAAGAATAAAAGGGGGAAAAGCTAATGGCCACTGTGGGATTCACTTGCAAAAGAGAAGACAGAAGTGAAAGGAGAAATAATGATTTCATACTTGTGCTTATGGAAGTCTAAGAAATTAAACACTGGGAATGTTTAGTTTGTTTAGATTTTTATTCAGTTCCATAATAGTGATGTGGTTGCATGTGAATGTGCACTTGAGGTTGCTAGAGCCGTGGATCATTAGAAAAAAGAAACAGATGTGGGTTGACTCTGTAAATGTTTGGAGATACCAAGTTTCCCATATGTTCCACTTTTCTTTCCTAATAGTGACCTTACACCACAAAATGTTTTTTTATTATTATTATTAAAGAAATAAATTCATTTTTTGTCCACAAACTCTCTGCGTTTCCACCCTGCATTATGTTTCAGCTTTGACTTACATAAATTCTAAGGCTCCTTGTTATAATGATGCTATTTCTCAGGAGGCTTTCCCAATTAATTTTTCGGTCAGAATCTAACCTCAGCTTCTTGCTTCCAGATGATTGGCTCCCCATACCATTCCTGAACCAATAATATGGCATGTAAGTATGCATGAGGCATGCATACTCATTCTGCAGATCTCCCTAGCTTAATGTCAAGGTTCTTAACAATGTATGGTATGTTTTAGACATATGGCCCATTCATTGGAAGCAACTTATCATCACAAAACAATACCTACAAGGACAATATCCATGACCAGGCTAGATTGCTGAAGAAGAAAAATCAAAATTTCAGAACAATAAATACTTCTAGTGATCCTCTCTATGACTGCTAAGCAGTATAGCATCCAAATTCAGGTCCTCGTTGTTTGTACACCTAACACTTCACCAACCTCTTCTGCCCTTTGATTTTTTTTTTTAAATGTCAACTTCCAGCACTGTTTTTAGACCATTCACTTTATGAATGAATTCTCACTTTGTAAGAATATTTGCTTTTTTTGAAAACTATTTTTAAAATTAGATTAATGCTGGGTTTACACTGAAGTAACTGAAACTTGTTGTAGTCTCACATCTGTTAAAAGGGAAGAAACTACTTGGAACAGAACTAAAAGTTGAACCCATACTGATAGAAGTAGTCCCACATGCTTTCTTTTTCCAATCTGAGGCCAACCGTGGTGTTTAATGATAAAGTCATAATAATTAGCAAAACCCCACGCTTTCTCCCTTATTAAGCAATTATTGCTCCCCATTCTCATTGAGTTGGCTCAGATTCACTTTTCTTATGCAATCTTAAATGAGATCCTCATTTTTGCATTTTCCAATTCTATATCAAGAGAGGAAAGTGAATGTTCTTCCCAAGCTCGCTCTACATTGATGCCTTTTGGCAGAAAGTGGCCAATTTTCATGGGGTTCTCCTGAATATTGTGTTTTCTACTGGTGAACTTTCAGATA